TCCTTACCCCACACGTCCTCTAGGTGACCACATCTACATCCTTACCCAACACCTCCTCTAGATGACCACATCTACATCCTTACCCCACTTGTCCTCTAGGCGACCACATCTACATCCTTACCCCACACGTCCTCTAGGTGACCACATCTTCATCCTTACCCAACACCTCCTCTAGGTGACCACATCTACATCCTTACCCCACACATCCTCTAGGCGACCACATCTACATCCTTACCCCACACGTCCTCTAGGCGACCACATCTACATCCTTACCCCACACGTCCTCTAGGCGACCACATCTACATCCTTACCCCACTCGTCCTCTAGGTGACCACATCTACATCCTTACCCCAAATGTCCTCTAGGTGACCACATCTACATCCTTACCCCACGAGTCTTCTAGGTGACCACATCTACATCCTTACCCCACGAGTCCTCTAGGTGACCACATCTACATCCTTACCCCATACGTCCTCTAGCTAGGTGACCACATCTACATCCTTACCCCACACGTCCTCTAGGTGACCACATCTACATCCTTACCCCACATGTCCTCTAGGTGACCACATCTACATCCTTACCCACACGTCCTCTAGGTGACCACATCTACATCCTTACCCCAAATGTCCTCGAGGTGACCACATCTACATCCTTACCCAACACGTCCTCTAGGTGACCACATCTACATCCTTACCCTACACGTCCTCTAGGTGACCACATCTACATCCTTACCCCACACGTCCTCTAGGTGACCACATCTACATCCTTACCCCACACGTCCTCTAGGTGACCACATCTACATCCTTACCCCACATGTCCTCTAGGTGACCACATCTACATCCTTACCCCACGAGTCCTGTAGGTGACCACATCTACATCCTTACCCCACACATCCCCTAGGTGACCACATCTACATCCTTACCCAACACGTCCTCGAGGTGACCACATCTACGTCCTTACCCCACACATCCTCTAGGTGACCACATCTATATCCTTACCCAACATGTCCTCGAGGTGACCACATCTACGCCCTTACCCCACACGTCATCTAGGTGACCACATCTACATCCTTACCCAACACCTCCTCTAGGCGACCACATCTACATCCTTACCCAACACCTCCTCTAGGTGACCACATCTACATCCTTACCCCACACGTCCTCTAGGCGACCACATCTACATCCTTACCCAACACCTCCTCTAGGTGACCACATCTACATCCTTACCCCACACGTCCTCTAGGCGACCACATCTACATCCTTACCCCACACGTCCTCTAGGTGACCACATCTACATCCTTACCCCACACGTCCTCTAGGCGACCACATCTACATCCTTACACAACACCTCCTTTAGGTGACCACATCTACATCCTTACCCCACACGTCCTCTAGGTGACCACATCTACATCCTTACCCCACACGTCCTCTAGGCGACCACATCTACATCCTTACACAACACCTCCTCTAGGTGACCACATCTACATCCTTACCCCACACGTCCTCTAGGCGACCACATCTACATCCTTACCCCACACGTCCTCTAGGTGACCACATCTACATCCTTACCCAACACCTCCTCTAGGTGACCACATCTACATCCTTACCCCACACGTCCTCTAGGTGACCACATCTACATCCTTACACAACACCTCCTCTAGGTGACCACATCTACATCCTTACCCCATACGTCCTCTAGGTGACCACATCTACATCCTTACCCCACACGTCCTCTAGGTGACCACATCTACATCCTTGCCCCACACGTCCTCTAGGTGACCACATCTACATCCTTGCCCCACACGTCCTCTAGGTGACCACATCTACATCCTTACCCCACACGTCCTCTAGGTGACCACATCTACATCCTTACCCAACACCTCCTCTAGATGACCACATCTACATCCTTACCCCACATGTCCTCTAGGCGACCACATCTACATCCTTACCCCACACGTCCTCTAGGTGACCACATCTTCATCCTTACCCAACACCTCCTCTAGGTGACCACATCTACATCCTTACCCCACACATCCTCTAGGCGACCACATCTACATCCTTACCCCACACGTCCTCTAGGCGACCACATCTACATCCTTACCCCACACGTCCTCTAGGCGACCACATCTACATCCTTACCCCACACGTCCTCGAGGTGACCACATCTACGTCCTTACCCCACACATCCTCTAGGTGACCACATCTATATCCTTACCCCACATGTCCTCGAGGTGACCACATCTACGCCCTTACCCCACACGTCATCTAGGTGACCACATCTACATCCTTACCCAACACCTCCTCTAGGCGACCACATCTACATCCTTACCCAACACCTCCTCTAGGTGACCACATCTACATCCTTACCCCACACGTCCTCTAGGCGACCACATCTACATCCTTACCCAACACCTCCTCTAGGTGACCACATCTACATCCTTACCCCACACGTCCTCTAGGCGACCACATCTACATCCTTACCCCACACGTCCTCTAGGTGACCACATCTACATCCTTACCCCACACGTCCTCTAGGCGACCACATCTACATCCTTACACAACACCTCCTCTAGGTGACCACATCTACATCCTTACCCCACACGTCCTCTAGGTGACCACATCTACATCCTTACCCCACACGTCCTCTAGGCGACCACATCTACATCCTTACACAACACCTCCTCTAGGTGACCACATCTACATCCTTACCCCACACGTCCTCTAGGCGACCACATCTACATCCTTACCCCACACGTCCTCTAGGTGACCACATCTACATCCTTACCCAACACCTCCTCTAGGTGACCACATCTACATCCTTACCCCACACGTCCTCTAGGTGACCACATCTACATCCTTACACAACACCTCCTCTAGGTGACCACATCTACATCCTTACCCCATACGTCCTCTAGGTGACCACATCTACATCCTTACCCCACACGTCCTCTAGGTGACCACATCTACATCCTTGCCCCACACGTCCTCTAGGTGACCACATCTACATCCTTGCCCCACACGTCCTCTAGGTGACCACATCTACATCCTTACCCCACACGTCCTCTAGGTGACCACATCTACATCCTTACCCAACACCTCCTCTAGATGACCACATCTACATCCTTACCCCACATGTCCTCTAGGCGACCACATCTACATCCTTACCCCACACGTCCTCTAGGTGACCACATCTTCATCCTTACCCAACACCTCCTCTAGGTGACCACATCTACATCCTTACCCCACACATCCTCTAGGCGACCACATCTACATCCTTACCCCACACGTCCTCTAGGCGACCACATCTACATCCTTACCCCACACGTCCTCTAGGCGACTACATCTACATCCTTACCCCACACGTCCTCTAGGTGACCACATCTACATCCTTACCCCAAATGTCCTCTAGGTGACCACATCTACATCCTTACCCCACGAGTCTTCTAGGTGACCACATCTACATCCTTACCCCACGAGTCCTCTAGGTGACCACATCTACATCCTTACCCCATACGTCCTCTAGCTAGGTGACCACATCTACATCCTTACCCCACACGTCGTCTAGCTAGGTGACCACATCTACATCCTTACCCCACATGTCCTCTAGCTAGGTGACCACATCTACATCCTTACCCCACACGTCCTCCAGCTAGGTGACCACATCTACATCCTTACCCCACATGTCCTCTTAGCAACCACACCATGTATTGTTCTATGTAGGACTTCCCCTAATTTTATATGGATTTCACCTGTGTTGGTTTATAGACATTGCAGCACATACCGTATTCGACATAATAAGCGCCCCGCTCTAATAAGCACCCACAGCGTTATTTGCTTATATATTGGCTAGTGAACAATCCCAGTTAGCACCCTTTCCGATTGATCAATGTACACAAGACTTATTTATTCGTGTATAATATGCACTCATTTGTTATATGCACCCTTAATTATGGGCAATTAAATTCTGGAAAAATATATCTGCCGTGTTTATCAATTCAGGCTGTCAGCATAAACCACAAATTTACAATTTTTCAACTTCATTTTTAATCTCACCAAAATTATATTCTAATAAGAGTCCCCTATTTCTAATTTTGAGAGCGCCCTGGGCGCTTATTAGCTCTGTTTTACCCATCTCTCCATGTTGTGTAATATGCTTTTACTGTTATACATTTGGTTGAGCTCTGAGTCACAGATTTAAGATGCATGTGTGGAGTGTAAATGGGTGTTGTCAGTACATGGAGTGACTATACATTTTATGGTTTCCACATTTGAATAACCACCCTACAAAATTTGATCAGAATAAAAAAGAAATGTATTAATGTGCATATTTGTTATGCACCAATTCCACACCCTAGAGCATGCTAAAAGTGCTACATTATTATGGATCATTGTGCACTCGAATTTTATTCTCAACTCCCTGGGGAGAGTGCAACCCAAGCTGCCTGCGAGACGCTAGATGGTCAAGTTACATCACCATCTCATCCTACTGGATCCCAATTCACTGCTGGGTGAACAGAGGATGATGTCAAAGTCACTTGCCTCAGTGGACACAAAGGGAGGGGTCCAAAATATAATAATTTAATTTAATACCTACAACATACTACATTTGGTTTTGAAAAGAGGTGGGGTGGGTGGATGGGGGGTTGGGGGGGACTGGTCCAGACCCCCTACCAGGCCTCTGGAACCGCCCATGAACTAAAGTCATATGAAAAAATCATGTGTTCTTTAACTTCATGTTGATGGTACTTATGCTTTCAATGACTGAAGATTCTGCCAAGTTTCATTTGAACAAAGATTTAAAGGGACTAGACAGATACTTTTTATTTCAGGACGAAACTAGTGCCAGTTAAAGGAAATGGAATTCTAGAAAAATCAATCTGTTGCCCATCACCAAGTACCTGTTGCGAATGTCTCTCAAAACACAATACATGGGAGACAACTCTGTCTGTACTATTTCATATGCCTTCTTTCATATGACTCTTGAGATTATTTCTGTGGCAGGGTGACGATTTCAGCAGCTGCACCAGTTGACATCAACACAACAATGTCACCTAGCAATGGTCACCATGGTGACGGATATGTTGACACAAAGATGTCACCACAGCCAGCTCCTAGAAAGTCAAAAGTGAGTATTTTTAACTTTTCCCTGAATGTGTGCGTCATGTAGTATTCTATCGTGACTTTTTTTCAATCTTGCTTTCTGATTGATCTGCCTGTACTATCAAATTATGTCCAACTTGACATTTGTCACTGGTTGATGTCAACTTGATAGCGTCACATCCAATCTAGTCAATTAAAACTAATAAATAAAAATATCATATCTTCGAATTTCTCTGAAAGAGTCATTTAAGTGGTCCTGCTGGAAATGTTTCTGAATTAATTTTCAGTATTTCTCCTTGTTTATTAAGACAACTCAGTATTGAAATTGTCTGAGGAAGATGTTCTTTGAAAATAACATGGTCATCAGCAAAGAAGTGATGGAGTAAGATGAGATAAGAGTGTCTCTTCCTGGGGTGAGATGAGACAGAGATGTCTTTACCTTGGGTGAGATGAGACAGAGGTGTCTCTTTACCTTGGGTGAGATGAGACAGAGGTGTCCCTTTACCTGGTGTGAGATGGGACAGAGGTGTCTCATCCTGGGGTGAGATGAGACAGAGGTGTCTCTTCCTGGGGTGAGTAGAGACAGAGGTGTCTCTTCCTGGGGTGAGATGAGACAGAGGTGTTTTTACCTTGGGTGAGATGAAACAGAGGTGTCCCTTTACCTGGGGTGAGATGAGTCAGAGGTGTCTTTACAGGGGGTGAGATGAGACAGAGGTGTCTTTACCTGGGGTGAGATGAGACAGAGGTGTCTCTTCCTTGGGTGAGATGAGACAGAGGTGTCTTTACCTTGGGTGAGATGAGACAGAGGTGTCTCTTCCTGGGGTGAGATGAGACAGAGGTGTCTCTTTACCTGGGGTGAGATGAGACAGAGGTGTCTTTACCTCAGGTGAGATGAGACAGAGGTGTCTCTTCCTGGGGTAAAATGATACAGAGGTGTCTTTACCTAGGGTGAGATGAGACAGGGGTGTCTCTTCCTTGGGTGAGATGAGACAGAGGTGTCTCTTTACCTGGGGTGAGATGAGACAGAGGTGTCTCTTTACCTTGGGTGAGATGAGACAGAGGTGTCTCTTTACCTGGGGTGAGATGAGACAGAGGTGTCTCTTCCTGGGGTGAGATGAGACAGAGGTATTTTTTACCTGGGGTGAGATGAGACAAAGGTGTCTCTTTACCTGGGGTGAAATGATACAGAGGTGTCTTTACCTGGGGTGAGATGAGACAGAGGTGTCTCTTTACCTGGGGTGAGATGAGACAGAGTGGAGAAGGCGTCACAGCCTGGTTTGGCATTGCTACTTGGGTTGTAATGTATAATGTAAGAAAATAACAATAAACAATATACGATTATTTTTTTCCCAATTTGCTTGCTACAGGCACTTAGTTGAACATCACTGACAGACCTTAGCATAATAGCCAAACAAAAACATTTACACAGAAATATCATTTCCTGATACAATGATATGTGGAAAATACAGAAAGTACTGGATATCATATGAATGTTTATGTAATACTGTACCGACATGTTGTTACTATGGAAACGTTGCAGAATAATATCATTTCTCTTGTGACACTTTCCATCAACTAATATTAATTGGTTTCCATAGTAACACAATGGGAGTTTCTATGTAGAATAGTGGTTTCAAATGAAACAAATAAATAACAGACTGAAGGTCACATCTGCAGCAGTAGAGACACAGATTAGATATTGATGTATGTTTTATATTGTTATTAGAAAAGAATATGACAACATTCTCTATGTGACTATCTAAATGGTAAATCTCTTTATTGCCACTGTAAACAGGATAAAGACACAGTAAGTAGGGTCATTATAGGAAAACAGTAGGAGTAAGTGCCACGCCCATCAGCCATGGCAACAGGAGACACTGTTATGTTGAAATATCATGTTTTTTCCATCTCATGGACAACGCCACAAAATGTATACCGTAAATACTCTGTTAAATTGTACGCATAAATCTTTGAATGTTTTAGTATGTTTGTTACTCTGTACACTAGCATTTATTTCTAGTCCTTGGAAAAATATCATTCTTTAAACTGTAAGTACACTGGCATCTGTCTACCTTTGTGTTCATCTGTTCAATTAGAAGTCAGGAAAACAAGGTGCTCAGTGAGTAGGTCTTGTTAATCTGTGTTTCGTCATCGGCAAAGCTCAGAAACCTTGTTTTTTCAGAGAATATTAAGAATGACAAGACTCACGTCAATTGGACAGCCAATAAGAAAGCTTGGATAAATTCAGCAGTGTTGGTATTTATGGAAAATGCGCCATCCTTTGCCCATGGACTAAGTCTTACTAGGTCTTAGCGCTATGATTGTCATGAGTCTGTGTTAAAGTATGGATTTATGATCATCTTAGTGCTACGACAGTCGTTAGTCTGTGTTAAAGTATGGGAGTTACGATCATCTTAGTGCTACGACAGTCGTTAGTCTGTGTTAAAGTATGGGAGTTACGATCATCTTAGTGCTACGACAGTCGTTAGTCCATGTTAAAGTATGGGAGTTAGCATCATCTTAGTGCTACGACAGTCGTTAGTCTATGTTAAAGTATGGGATTTACGATCATCTTAGTGCTACGACTGTCGTAAGTCCATGTTAAAGTATGGGAGTTACGATCATCTTAGTGCTACGACAGTCGTTAGTCTATGTTAAAGTATGGGATTTACGATCATCTTAGTGCTACGACTGTCGTAAGTCCATGTTAAAGTATGGGAGTTACGATCCTCTTAGTGCTACGACAGTCGTTAGTCCATGTTTAAGTATGGGAGTTAGCATCATCTTAAAGTGTCAAAGATCGCTTTGTGAAATGGGGCCCAGGTCTTTTGGAAAAACATTTTTAACAGCCAATATGTTAGGCCTGTACAGTTTCTTGCTTTTATGAACTTCTTGGTTGATACGTGGGCCAACAAAAAGAGACAAAAAGATACATTTGAAAATGAATTTGAGGTTAATTTCCCAAACCTCTTTAAACCTCATTTTATTTTTTCTTTGCAAAAAACAAACATTTACTTTTCTTCTTAATTACTATGAGGAACACAAACAGACATGCCATGCACATTGGCTTGAGTTACGAAGTACAAAACAAATTTTAATTAAGTCACATTTTACATCAAATATATTACTTTAAATTTTAAGATTATTTCCTTTGCAAAGGTTAGGTTAGGCTTATCATTACCAGAATCTGAACAAGTCTGGCCTTGGCTGAGTGTTAGTAGAAGAACGTAATTAGTTTTGTAGCATTATTGGAATAATTACGGTATGTATGCTACAAATAGTGTCTGATGGGTGTCAGCTGATATTGATTTATTCAAGGACAGTAATCACCTGCTGATAATTGTCTTACCTGCTTTGTTGATGAAGGGTGTTGAACAAAAAAACATATTTTCTGGAAATTGGAATATGTGGTTCCGAAGAAGATGAGACTACAGAGAGGCTGCCAGATGTTATAATAATAAATAATAGGCCATTTATATTGCACACATTTCCACACCACACAGGGGGGTGTTCTTACTTTGCCAGCAGCTATTGTTCTTGTTTAAAAATCAGTAGCCCGTGATACTCCCTACAACTATGGGGATTAACACTATAGACTGTTTCACTTTCACTGAATGACTACAGCCAGACTACAGCCTGTCTAGGTAGATATAACACAAAAAATGTATGTAGTAGTATAGGTTTTTATTAATTATTAATTAAAAATTCCATTTATGTTCAGATGTACAAATTTTCAAGAAAATTTAATACAATATAGCTTGCAAAATTTATGTCTGGCTAAAGCAAAATCACTTAGAGTCCGACAAGGTGGGATACAGCATCACCATACTCGATGGGCGATTTAACACCAGCTGCGAGCAGTCTCTTCTCTCTGTCTAGTTTGTCATCCAGCTGGCGGTACTGGGGCATGCTTAAGGCACTATTATTACTCCGGTCACTGGATCAGTGTGCACTAAACAATCATTCTCTGCTCCCTGGGGAGTATGCAATCCAAACAGAGTGTTAAGTGCTAGAAGGATAACAACCACATTGCCATCTCATCCTACCGGGTACCCACTCACTGCTGGGTGAACAGAGGCCCATTTCGAACAGTCACATGCCCAAGGAGACACGTACCACATGTGTTACATGTGCTTCAGTGTCAATCACTGGATTGTCTGGTCCTGACTTGATTATTCATGGACCGCCGTCATATAGCTGGAATATTGCTGAGTGCTGCTTTAAACAAACAAACAAACAAACAAATTTACCTGCCCACACACGTCATACTTCAGCCACTCAATAATGTACACGTAAACCATGTTTTTCCCTTTGTTGTTGTCGTCTGAAATTCACCTGCCTGATGCTTGGCATTAAGGGGATAAAACAAGGACTGGTCAGTATACTAAAGTGGGGTATCCATGATATACTGCAGCATGGTAACTCAGTGGGCTACCACTATAAAATACTGACACACACCCATTTTACCTCACCTAACCTTCTTTAGAAATTGGCTTAAATTACCAGTCCCTTAGAAAGTCCACTGTATTGAAATCAGTTTTATTTGTATATATGCTAGATTACCTCAAGCTCCTTACAGTGCTATCTTGCTCCCTAGAGAGAGGAGAATAAATGTGTCAAGGGCTGCACGGAGCTTTTTTGTGTACTGGTTCTTGGATGGCTATGCATTGCATTACCTTTAGCTGCTTTTTATTACTTTATTTTCACATCCACAAAATAAAATTAATATTAGTAAAAGCTGTTGATTACTGACCTTAAAGTTTTAAAATGTGATTAAGTAAGAAAAGAGACGGATTCTTTTGTGAACTTATTGATGAATCTATTACTAGTTGACAGCAATATTTTGCCCTTTTGTTCAATGCCCGATACCTTTAAGAGCGAGATATTAATGCAATATTATGTGATAAGGTAACTTTGAGAACATGTAACATGAGAATTGTTTGATAGGCATTACTTAGAAGCTGATGGATGACAAAGTAGACACAATTCCCCAGTCCCCCCCCCCCCCCCCCCCCCCCCCCGGAG